CCTGGGGCCTTCGAGCCGTGGTGTCAGACTCTGGTTCTGAAGCACTTACTGGTTTCTAGTCACTAAAACTGTCATTGTGACTGTCATTGTGACAGTTTTCTCTTTGGCATTTGAGCCCCAGGCCACTGGCCCACCTGGGCCCTCCCTGTGGCCTGACCAGGATGGTTCCCAGACACTGGGCTTCCAGGCTCTCCTAGCCCGCTTCCTCTGAGCCTCCCAGGCCTCAGACCTCTCGCAGGCCTGGCCCTTCCCTCTCCTGGGCCACTCGCCACCCGCCACCCGCCTCATGGCAGAGGCACCTCTGCAGCCAGCTGGGTGGCGTGGGTGACATGGGCACCGCCCACTGCTGCTGCGACTGTGATTCACCAGGTGGGCAGCACCTGGGTCAGGCCTGGCACCCGGGTCCGGCCCGGCACCCCGGCTCCTTGGGCGGTTGTGCGCTGTGCATCCTTCCCGCTCGGGGGCGGAGCCTGTGACGTCCCTCTCCTGGGCTCTGCGGGTCAAGGGAGGGGTCCTCTCTGTGGAGCTTGCTGCCCGCAGGCGCGAGCTCTCAGCAATGCCAGGAGTTTTGCTGCAGTGGTTTGCCTCCCAGCTGAGGGGGACCCCCACCCCAGGGTCCTGGCACAGCCAGGGTTCTACAGGAGCCCCGGGTGCTGGAGGGAATAGGGGCAAGACTCCTGTCCAAGGCCACTCAGCCTGAGGAGTGGCCCTTCTCTCCTGAATGCAGCGCCTGCTGGCCCTTGCCTTCTGGATGCTCAGTGGGGACTGTCCTCCCACTCACAGGGCGTCCTGGACCGGTTTTCTCAAATTCAGCCGAAGCTCATCTTCTCGGTGGAGGCCGTGATCTACAACGGCAAGGAGCACAGCCACCTGGAGAAGCTGCAGCGGGTGGTTAAAGGTACGGCCCCTCCCGGTCCCCTTCTGCCCCCCCCCAGAGCGGTGTGAGCAGATTGGAGCCTCCTGGACTCTGTGTGCACAGAGCTGAGGCCCTCAGGAGTCCTGCCATCCACCCTGCCTCCCTGGGTGGCTCCTGGTGTGATGTGTTCTCGCCTCTCCCTCCAGGGTTGCCTGACCTGAGAAAGGTGGTGGTGATCCCTTACATCTCGCCTCGGGAGCAGATCGACATTTCCCGGATTCCCAATAGGTAAGGAGCACGCGCCCACCCCCAGGTGCCCACTTCAGAGGCCTGCATGGCCCCAGTGCCCTGGGAGGTGCCCCTGGGCTTTCTACTCACCCTGGCAGGTCAGAGATGGAGGTTTTGGTGAAAGTGCTTGCTTCGTAGATGGGCCCTTAAGTCCCCAGAGCAAATCCCCTAAGGCCACATGGCAAATGAGGGGTAGAACAGAGGGTCCCAGGAGTCCTCCCTCACAGGCCTGCCTGTGTCTCTTTGCTGTGGCAGGCTTGGGCAGAGGCGTCCAGGTCCCTGGGCGGGCCACACAGCTCTGCCTTGGGACTGACGCGCACACATACATGAGCGTGTGGGCGCACTGGCCTCTGTGTGTTTGTGTACGTGTGTCAGCCAGGTGCCCGAGGCTGGTGATGCCCTCCTTGGCTTTTTTGACACTTACAAGCTGATAAGCCGCACGTCTCGAGTGCCAGGTGGAACTGTGGGCACCTTGGTGTGGAACAGAGGTGAAGGAGGCGCAGCCTGGGTCAGCTGGGACTGCCCAGTCCTCGGGGTTCTGCCTGGATCTCTGGTAACAGCTGTGGGCGAGGCTGGGGGTCGGGGTGACCCTCAGGCACCCTTCCTATTAACTTCTACCCTGGCAGCTGCAGGATCCACAAGGGGCCCCTCGAGCTGTGGGGAGGGGTTGTTCAGAGATGGCGGGAGTCCTTGGGTCTGCCTCTGGGGAGTGCTGGGGTGGCAGAGGCCCTATTTAGGCAGACAGTAGGTGACGTCTGGCTCGCTGGTTTTGTGTGGGGGCTCCTGGGCGCTGAGCAGTGTAAGGCACGTGTCCTTACAGCGTGGCCATCACGTGGGTGGCAGTGGAAGGGCCTGGGAGTTGAGAGTGGGGTGTGGCTGTTCTATTGGGTCCAGAGGTGGCCTCCGACTGGCCTTGAAGTGTGGCCTCCTAGTGCTGCAAGCAGAGTGGTGGCTTTGGGAGGCTGTGGCCTCTAGTGCCAACCTTCTTGGATTTGGGTCTCAGCTGGGTGACCCTATGCCAGTGATCAACCTCTCTGTGCCCTGGTTTCTCCATCTGTAAAATGAGGACCCCACCTTCCTCGGGGGCTGGTGTGAGGGTCAGAGAAGTGAGTGCTGAGCCAAGTGAGTAGTCAGCGCTCAGTAGCTGTGTCTGTTACCGCCCGGCTGCACGGGCTCTGTCACTAGAGTGTGATCTTCACAGGTGGGCCTGAGGGCCCTCTGCTGACCTCAGGTGGAGCCCTGGTCTTCTTTCCTGCAGCCTCAGGCCTGGCCCCCGGGTTTGCCTGATGGAGCTGGACACTTTGTCGTGGAGAGGAAAACCAGCTGGGCCGCCAGCCCTGCAGTGGCCGGTTTCTCTTCCCCTGAGTGTATTTCCCTGTGGTGGGGGACAGTGGGAGCACCTGCCCCATGACGGGGGACAGTGGGAGCACCTGCTGCCGTTCAGCTTGTGCAGCGGGGAGCTCTGCCCTCCTGAAGCCCCAGCAGCAGGCTCCACACTGCCCATGTCCTGGTCGCCAGGTCCACAGAGAACCCAGGACACGTGCTGCCCCTCACAGGAAGCGAGGGTAGGGCCACCTCTGGGCTTTGCATCTTCAGAAGAGCAACAAAAGTAACGGCTGTTTACTGTGATTTATGGACCTTCTTAAAGGAAAAAGTCTCTGTGTGACGCAGCGTGAGCTGTTTATATTTGGGGTGTTTTATATAAATGAGCTGCACAGGGAGGCGCCGGGGGTGGCCTCCTTCCCCGAGCCTGGCACTCGCGGCTGTGTGTGCCAAGGGCTCTGAGAGAAGCTTCTTGGATGCCCTTCCTGAAACACCTTGTCCCCGGAGCCTTCTCCCTAAGGACATCATTCCGCTCACAGGGAGGGTGTTCCCCGTCCTCATCATTCTCCCTGGTGACTGCTGCTGGCTGAGAGTGACCGACTCCCACCCCCTTCCTTGGAAGGGAGAAAGTTCCACTTGGCAAAAATGTATAGGGCCAAGTTCACAGGACCCATGTCTCTGCTGGCCCTATACTGTGAACTTGGCCCTATACTGTGAACTTGGCCCCCTCTCAAGGTGGCTTTGGGAATCCTGCCGTTCTTTCTATCCTAGCAGTCGGGTCTGGGTCGTGCCTTTGGTGGCTCTTGGCCACCCACATCAGTGCTCTCTGTCAGCGTGGGGTGAGGCTGGGCAGGCTTCCTCTGCTGGTCAGGAGCTTGGGTGAATCCCGTTTATTCTTGGACACGTGTTTGTATCTCACGCCGTGGGCCTCAGGACACAGTGACAGAGCCTGGCCACGTTGTCGTCACTGGCGCTGTGGTTGGCCCCTATTCCAGTTCCTCCTCCCCGTGGGGCCTCGGTTCAGAGGCAGGTGGCCTGTGCTCTCGTAGGGTGGTCAGTGGAAGCAGAGTGTGGCTGGTCAAGGGGACTAAGAGCCAACAATGGGAACGGGCTGCGACACCGATTCCAAGCCGCGTCAGCAGCGTTTGCACAAACGGGGTGTTAGTTGCAGGTAGTCCTCTCTGCAGTGCTTGTGAGGGCCTGGGAGTCTCCACGGAGCCAGCCCTTGGCCCGGCAGCAGTGCTAAGGAGCCCACTCAAGATCTTCACCCTGCAGTCTGTCCCTGTAGTTGGCTTGAGTTCCTGGGATGGGACCTCCCTGTCCCTTAAAGTGTCCACGCCAGGCTGGTGTCCCCAGGGATGCACACCTTCCTCGTGCTAGAGGCTAGTGCTGTGTGTGGCAGGGTGGGCGGGTCAGGTCTGGCGTCTGGAACGGTCACTGTTTCGCTCTCCTGCCCGCAGCGTGTTCCTGGAGGACTTCCTGGCGAGCGGGCCCGGCGAGCACGCCCCCCAGCTGGAGTTCGAGCAGCTGCCCTTCAGCCACCCGCTGTTCATCATGTTCTCCTCGGGCACGACTGGGGCACCCAAGTGCATGGTGCACTCGGCAGGGGTAGGTGTCCCGGCAGGGCTCACACCGTGGGTTCCCAGCTGGCAGCGCGGTGGGCATGGAGTCCTCATCGCCCTCCCGGGGACCCCGAGTGCTGCTCCCTGGGGAGTCTGGAAGTGGGCCAGGTGAGAGGCCTGCAGTGTCAGGGGACATTGTGGCACTTGCCACGATGAGGACAGGTGTGGAGGTCACTGTGAGACGGTGACTTCCAACTGTAGGCTGTGGCCCTGAGGGGACTAAGGTCTGGGGTGGGGTCCTGCAATGGTCTAGGACCCAGACCAGTCGAGAGCAGAAATGTCACACATCAGGTCAGGAGGTACGGTGGTGTCCACGGGACTGTCCTTGTGTGGTGTGGGTTGGGGCACTGCTGGGGATGTGGTGGAACCCTCTCTGACTGTGAGCCCTGGGCAGACACCTGAAGGCCATGAGGTGACGTCCCAAGCTGGGGTTAACCTAGGGAGGCCCCCTGCTGCCCCAGCTGGAGGCTAACGAGGGAGCCCGCTTTCCCACTGTGGAGGCTGGGATCTGAGACCTGGGTTGTGGGCCGGCCTCCCCAGCCCCTGTCCCTGGCTTATGGGGGCCACTGCTCCCTATACTGCCCCAGCCTGGCATGCGACACCCTGCCTTGGTCTGTTTCTGTTGCTAAGCCAGACACTACGGACGGCATATTTAGGGAGAATCCATGTTTGCTCAGCTCACAGAGCCAGGAGGAGGGGCCCAGTCAGCCCAGCTGGGGACTTCCACAGGTCTCCGTGTGGCACAGGACACCGCACCTAAGATGGAGAAGCTCGCTCAGTGTCCTTCTTCTACACCCCTGCTGCCGACATGGGGCCCCACCTGCGTGACCTTTCCCACCTGTCACTTCCCAAGGGTTCCACCTCCAAATGCTGTTAACATGTGACTCTGGGGATGGGTTTCCACAGGCACCAGGTCCGTGGGTCTCCTTGGACTGAGTCAGGGCCACCTAAGGGCTTCTCCTGGCCTTATCAATTTTGTGAACACCTCTGCGGAGGGTGGGCTGGGGCTTCCACATCTGAGGCTGGGGGAGGAGGGAGCGGGTCAGCCTGAGGCAAGCCTTTTACATCGCGTTTCCCAGAAGTCCAGCGTCCTTCAAGGACCCTCGAGATACATGGCTGCTGATGGTCTGGTCATAGATCGGCCGCCCCTAGCCTTTCTTCTTTTTGGTGCTGGGGATTGAACTTGGGCACTTAACCACAGAGCTGCTTCCCCAGCCCTATTCTGTGTTTGATTTAGAGACAGGGTCTCACTGAGTTGCTTAGTGCCTTGCTAAGTTGCTGAGGATGGCTTTGAACTCGTGATCCCCCTGCCTCAGCCTCCTGAGCCACTGGGATTAGAGGTGTGGGCCACCATGCGGGCTGTCCTTTCTTATTTTAAAAGTAAAATGCCTTGGGCTGGGGTTGTGGCTCAGAGGTAGAGCGCTCGTTTAGCATGTGTGGGGTGCTGGGTTCCATCCTCAGCACCACATAGAGGTAAAATAAAGATATTGTGTCCACCTATAACTAAAAATTAAATATTAAAAAAATGTCCACCAGACCTGTAGAAAACCTCTAGAAAAGCTGTAGAGTGAGGAGTTCCTTGCCCTTTGCCAGGCCCAGGCCTTGGTCCTGGGCTCCTAACATTTCCAGCATCCAGTTGTGACATTTTCTGTTTGTTTTTTGGTACTACTGAGCCACGTCCCCAGCCCTTTTTTATATTTTACTAGAGACAAGGTCTCACTGAGCTGCTCAGGGCCTCACTTTTGCTGAGGCTGCTTTGAACTCATGATCCTCCTGCCTCAGCCTCCCCAGCTGCTGGGATTTCAGGCGGGTGTCATTGTGTCTGGCTGTGACATTTCTTATAGCCTCCTTTGCTTCATTTTTCTCTGGGTACCTACGCGTTTCTGTCTCGTTTTTTGCTGATCCATTCGAGGTAGGCTGGAGCTGTGAGGGACTCTTCCTTTACCTCCATCTCGTCTCCTGGGAGCGGGTGCTCTCAGTGCTGTGGTCCAGGGTCAGCTCCTGAACACCAGAGTGGCCGCTGGCTGCCCTCCAGCGTGCAGCCCCCACAGCACTGGGTTGCGCCGTCCAGTCTCCCCAGGGCCCTCCATCTGGAGCGGCTCCTTGCCGTCCCTGGTCTTTCCTGACCTTGACGTTTGAAGTCCAGGACCTGGTGTGGCTTGGATCTCTGGGCCTGTGTGACGTTTCCTCGTGTCAGATCCGGGGGATGTGGCTCTGGGCGGGGCTCTAGGGCCCGACGCTGTGTCCCTTTCTAAGCATCTTCTCTGGGGGATATGCAGTGCCATTCTGTCCTGTCGTTGTCATTTAACTTGGTTACTTCAGAGGTGACTCCAGGGTGAGTCTGGTGCTTTCCTAACAATCCCTCCACACAGTCCTGCTGGCTCCTGGGCTGCGGGATGCTTCCTCCTGACTGGGGCCTCCCCAGCGACGCTCCTCCCCAAGGCCGCTCCTCCCCCAGGGCCGCTCCTCCCCAGGGCCGCTCCCCCCCAGGGCCTCTCCTCCCCAGGGCCACTCCTCCACCAGGGCCTATCATCCCTAGGGTCTGTCCTCCCCAGAGCCACTCCTCCCCAGGGTCGCTCCTCCACCAGGGCCGCTCCTCCACCAGGGCCTGTCCTCCCCAGGGCCGCTCCTCCCCAGGGC